GCTCCTTGGGGTTCCTCACGGGGAGGCAGGAACCGCCCGGTGTCGCCGCCGCCTCCTTCCCTCCCACTTTCTGCTGGCCGGGTACCTCCCCGCCGCCGCCGCGCCCCCTCAGCCGTCCTCCCGGCCCCCAGGTGAGCGCAGAGGGAGGAGGGCACCGCTCCCGCCCTTCCCGGCGGGGGGGGGAAGCGGCCCCGGTCCCTGAGGGCGCTGTCCCATCCCAGTGTTTACACTGGAGCCTTCCCGGGTGGGGGAATGGTGAAGGTGGAGGGAGGGGGGATCCTGCAGGCCCTTCCCGCCCACCGCCGGCTTCGATTCTGCTTCTTCAGTAACGGGAGCTAACGGTGCTTCTCGGGGAGTGAGCCGCCGGTCTGCCCCCCCCGCCCCAAGAGACTGGGGGGGAACTGAGGGCACCGGCGCCGGTTGAGGAGATGGGGGGTTGAGCCCACCCCTGGGGCAGGGTGGCTGCTGGGCTGCGCATCGAACCAAACCCAAACCTATGAACCGGTCCCAGGCGTTTTGCTGTGGAAAAGACACCTTTTTAATTTTTTTTTTCTTTCGTTTTCTGCCTTTCTTCCCCTTGGGCAGTGTTTTGTAGCGTTGGGGGGAGGTTTCAGCTGGCGTAGTGCGTCCAGCTCTGCAGGTGATGTTCAGAAGGCAGGGTAAGGCATAATGGTTTTAAATTGGAAGAGGGGAGATTTAGGTTAGATACCAGAAAGAAAGTCTTTCCTGCGAGCGTGGTGAGACACTGGAACAGGTTGCCCAGAGAAGCTGTGGCTGCCCCATCCCTGGAGGGGTTCAAGGCCAGGCTGGATGGGGCTTGGAGCAACCTGGTCTGGTGGGAGGTGTCCCTGCCCAGGGCAGGGGGGTTGGAACTTGGTGATCTTGAAGGTCCCTTCCAACTCTGACCACTCTATGGTTCTAAGGAGGGATGTCTGTTGAGTGGAGGAGCCCTGGTGGAGGGAAAACTCACTGATACAGGGATGTGTTCCTGCCCTGTATTTTCATTCTGTAGACGATTCTCTTGCTTTTCTCTTGGTTTATTGGTATCATTTAAAAATTATGACAGTCTATCCTAACGCAAGTTATAAAATGACAAAATAAGCTTTTTCTAAAATCGATCGCAAACTTCCCTCTTCCCCCCACCCCTCCCCTTAAGTCTACCAGCCGCAGAAAAGAGGAAATAAAATCCTAATGCACTGTGAAGAATTTCAGAGCCTGGGATGCGCATGTCAGCAATTACAGTGTTTCCATTAAAGTTTGCTATTTATGAGGATTCCTTATGTCCTCGTTCTTCCTTTAAGTCAGGAAGCTTGTACTGAAATTTGTAGGAGTAATTACCCAAATTCATACACTGATACACCCCATTGCAGTTTGGAAGCATTCAGTGGCTTGGGAACTGGTATTTATGCTTCAGTTCCAACCTATGTATCTGGAAGTCAAAATGGAGTATCTATGAAAAATTTGGTCATTTAAGTTTTATTGCTAGAAGCTGTTATTTATTAACAAAGCCATGGTTTTAGTTAGCATTTTTTACTTATGATTTTATAAGAATGTGACTCATGTTACTTTCATTTCTAATGCAGAAAATCAGCTCAAGAAGATGAAGCCTAATAAAGGAAAGACCTTCACTAGGGAGAGAGACTATGTGTACAAATTCGACGTGGGAAATCAGCATTTTGTGCTTACTGTGCCTCTCAAATTCCCTGTGCAAGAGAATATTAGTCATTTGCATGGGCGTCTCATGCTTCTGCACAATCTGCCATGCTTTATAGAAAATGGTAAGAATTGATTTCTTAAATTAATGTGATATACTCATGCCTGTAAGTGTCTTACAACCTGCTTTAAGAAACCAAAATAAGGGTATTCACTAGAACAGTTTTAAATTTTGGTTTTAAACCAGCAAAACATTAAAGAAAATTACTGTTAGTACTAGCAAGTAAGGTGTCCAAGTAAAAGGCTTTTAGAAAAACTTTATGTTCTCTAGATGATTGCTGATGCTTCCACTGACATGTTTTGTTGATGGACAATTCTCTTCTTGTTATATTAGACCTGAAGCAATCCCTTAATAAGTTCATAGAAGAGGAAACTATAAAAGATTATGATAGAGAAGCTGAAATGGCTCTGGAAGCAGTGAAATCAGGAAAAGTAGACATAAACCAGCTGGCAGATACTTGGGCTAAAGCTTATAAAGAGGTAAGATTAAGGCTGAAAAGTTAATATTAAGGGCTTGCTTTGTGAGAGTGTGTGTGTGTGCAGGTACAGATAGGATCACATCTGTGAAGATGCAAAATTGCATTGAAATTCACTTGTACTGATCAATTCTTAGATATTTTTTTTTCTTTTTATCTGAAAATGATCATTAAGTCTTTATCATACAAGTTCTCAGTGTGTTTTTTCCTGAACTTAAGTAGAACTACTGGTCAATTCTTAGATTATTTTTTTCTTTTTATCTGAAAATGATCATTAAGTCTTTATCATACAAGTTCTCAGTGTGTTTTTTCCTGAACTTAAGTAGAATCAAAAGATAAAAAGTTGAGAGGAAAATGGCTAGTGGTATTAAAACAAAAATAGACCAAAGGTTTATAGTGCATTAAATTCAAAGCAAGAAATAGTAAAGTGGTACTGCCATCCTAGATCTCAAAAATAACAATGAAGACTCCAAGGAGAAAGTGTAGAGTTGCAAGAGACTTTTTAGCTGTTTTCTGAGTTCATGTGACTGTTTTACATTATTTAGGGATGCTGAGGCTTTAGCTGCAGTAACGTGTCCAGTTTTGCATGTGATCTTTAAAATGGAGGTATATGAAAGAACTGGATGAGTCCTAGCAAAGAGGAAAAAAGAATGACAGAAACCGCAGCATTTGAAGAAAAGTTCATAGGAATTGATTTTTTTTATTGTGGAATATAAAAGAAAGTGGTGAAAAAATCCAAAACATACATCTGTTATAAAGAGAACTGGAAGCAAAGCATCTGTCTTAATGAACATCAATAAAATGAAATTAACTTAACCTTTAAGAAGGAAAAATCTGTATTAGGTGAGAATAGGAATGTGATAAAACATTGAAAGAATTTACAATCTAATCTTAGTGATTTCTATGTATAGGTTAGCCTGAGTGTAGGGGTTAGGATTAGATCATTTCTTGACGTTTCTAACCTGATTTCAATGATACAATCTCATTTCATCAGTTAAATCTGGTGGGAATGATTGCCAATGTAAAGAGTGTTTCAGTATAAAGGAGCTTGCAAAACTGGCATCTTTGGGCCATTCTTTGTTCAATAAAAATTGCTTTTCTTAAATCAGTGTTGTTGATCAAATTCTAGTTACATCAGAGGTTAGTCATCCTTTCTAGGAAAACATTTTTGTTTGCACAGCTGGTGTTTTGAGCCCTATCTAAAATCCATCAATTGTGAATATTGTTGCAGATACTATTGTTCTTTCCAAGTTGGTGGTAGTTCCTCACTGTAGTCAAAACCTTAATGTTTCTGCTGTTAATGGCTGAAAACCGGTAGTTCCTCGTTGTAGTCAAAACCTTAATGTTTCTGCTGTTAGTTGCTTTGAAAGAGAAGGAATATGGGAAGGGAGAATATGTTAAAGCAGAATACAGAAAGCTGAAATTAGGAAGGATAATTCATGTATGTTGAAAGTTGTGTGGCAGTGTGCGTGCCCAGATGGTTTTGCCCCACCATTTTGAGGGATCCTTGTATGTCCTAAAGGTACCATATGCTTTAAAATCTCTTATTTTTAGACAACACTAGAACATGCAAAACCTGAAGAAACCAGCTGGGATGAAGACTTTGCAGATGTTTATCACGATCTGATACATTCTCCAGCTTCTGAAATGCTGTTAAACCTGGAACACAATTATTTTGTTAGTATCTCAGAATTAATAAGTGAAAGAGATGTGGAACTGAAAAAACTACGGGAAAGGTATTCCTTCCTTTTCTCTTTTTATTTTTTTTCTTATTAAATAGCGGTGCATGCCACTGGGCACATACGACTTGTAGGACAGCATGTATCAACTTGTATTTGTCTATGTAACCCCTATTTTAGTTTTATGTTTCCCTCTTTAAAGTTGTATAACACATAGCCTATATTGTTAGGGTCAGCTCTCTTATGTTCTCCTCAGTCTCTGAAAATTCTACAAGCTAAAGCCACCAAATACAAGATTCGATTTCCATTGTTCAATTCGTGTTGTAAGTGGTATAGCAATGAAAAGTGCTTAGGATATCTAGAAAATAAATTATATTTGCATACCATATTTTGCTTTTGTTATGATGTAATTTCAGTGAAAAATTGGAAGTTCCACAGGATGAAAAGGTGAACATGAGACTTGAACCAACTTTAAATCAGAAAGTGTTGAATTTGAAATGTAGGAAAGTCTATGTGGGATCCTATTTCCAAATAAACTTGAATAGCTGCAGGAGACTGCTCTGCCCACAAGAGGGAACACATACAATGCGGAGTTCTCTTATTTCTTTTCAAGACTAAATAGGTTAAGGAAAATGAATGCTCGCAAATGCAGATATCGTATAGATATTACATGCTAGGGAAGCTTGTGAGATGCCAGAATATTCGAAGTAGGTATGTTTTAACATCCTAAGTGGCAATAGTCCTCTTGACTTGCATTTAAGCTCACGTTATACAATGCATACATGTTTATATAGTTGCTTCTAGACTGAATTGTATATATCTCTAATTTGGGGATAAATGTTGCCAATAACGTGCTAGCAAAACATTTTGCTGCTTATGGACTCTTCTCAAGTAGTCATCTAGAAGAAGGGCGCTTTATCCGAAGAGCCATAGTGTTGTAGAGCTCTAGTGTGATATAACTGTGCATTGACTCTGGTGGAATTTACCATATCTGTTTGTCATGATCAAGAAACTCTGCATGTTGGTGGCAGCTGAGACTATCCCAGATGAGCGTAGGTGGTGTTCTGTTTACACAGGAGCTGACTTGGAATACCTGACCCTCCATTCAAATTTGTGGATATTCATTGCTAAATCTGTGCTAGGGTAAATTGATGCCTTGCTGAAGAAAGGGCTGAAGTTGAAAGACTAAGTGAAGCCAGGGGTTTAGAAGACTAAGGTGGGACAAGGTATTGAACGATCTGCCCTTTAGGTCCCCTCGTTGACTGTAGTTTGAGCTGGAAGCTCATCTGGCTGTTAAAAACAGGTGTATTTAGCCTGCTTCTTGGTGTTTACCTGCCTGGATCAGCTGTGATTGGGGCAGGAGGAAAGCAAGGGCCTGAGTACGACCATTTCAAAAACTCTTCTAATGCTAAGAATAGTGAAGGGCTATACTAGCGTCATACCTTCTTCGAATATCTCTGAGTGTATACTTTAAGTGTATGAATTCAAATTCCAAAATGAGCAGATGGACAAAATACTGCCTAACATGATGTGTCTTTCAGCTATATGTTCAGTTGTATCTCTGTTTGTGATGAGCATTGACCAGCTGGCTGATAGTTACTGATACAATGATCAGTTCTGTATCAACTGTAATGCATATTCTGCCAATTTTTTGAAAGTGTTGCTTGTTCTAAATCTACCTTGTGCTTCTCTTTCAGACAAGGAGCAGAAATGGATAAGGTGATGCAGGAACTAGGGAAATCACTAACAGACCAAGATGTAAATTCATTAGCAGCTCAGCATTTTGAATCTCAGCAGGTATACTAAGTTCAGTGAACTAGAATATGTCATGCAAATAATTGTCTTTAAAAAAACCATCCAAAACACTCAAATCATAATCATCATTTTGTTAGGATTTGGAGAACAAATGGACCAATGAATTAAAACAGTCTACTGCTATCCAGAAGCAAGAATATCAGGAATGGGTGATAAAGCTTCATCAGGACCTAAAGAATCCAAACAACAGTTCAATCAGGTATCTAATTCCTCTATGATGATTACTTCTATTTGTAATAGTTCAAGGGACTGGCTTTTATATAATCTTTATTTCAGATTAGCCATTTAAATAGGATAATCAAAGCAAATCAAAGGCAAATAAAACATCATAATAAAATATATTTTTAGGAGTTTCTTCATTGTGTAAAGTTATAACCTTTCTGTACTAGAAAGCTGTTGCAATGTGCTAAACTACAACTCGAGCCGAATGGGGTTTTCTCTGATTTTGCCTTTATCTACAATGTCTATTTTTAACAGTGTCTGTCTTTAACACTATTTCACAAGGCTTTCTGTTACCACGTAAGGATGTTCTGCATAATTGTAGCTTAATAAATGGTAACAGGATCACACAGTTTGAATTAATAAATCTCTTTCAATTTTTTTGTTTTGTTTTATGTATACATCACTGGACAGCTAAAAAAAATGGAATTTTTTAGTGTGAATGCTTGTGGTGAGAGTTGGATGAACAGCTTTCTGATTGAGGAAATAGCAGGGAAATCAGAATTTGTAACTTGGGGATGTCCTTATACTTCATCATGAGTAACCACCACCTTTGTTACTGATAGGAAAACAGAAAGGGTAAAACCTGATGCTTTCTCATGTTAGTAGAAGAGCCAGCCTGAGTAGATTTAGGTGGATGCAGCAAGAAATTTATGGGAAACACAGCACCTTTGAACAAAGTGGATGCCAATAAGAGAAGACAGGGATGGATCATATTGCATGAAATACTCATCATTTTCTCGTTTCCTTCTGGGATAAGGAAGTGTATGGAACATGAGGGAAGAGAGAGAGGAGGGGAAATATATTGGAGGATGATGCTGTATGCTTAGATTTTTCACTGCTTTCCTCAGGATTTTGTTGTCTGTGAATTTATGTTTTGGGAGTCTCTTGGAGTTCTCTAGTTAGTCTGGGAATGTCCAAGGTCTGTATAGCTCACAGGCAAGCCAACCTCTTTCTAAACTAGTGACCAGGTAGAACATCACTACAGTAGTGACAGTCTATTCAAGCTCTTAAGCCCAATCCTAAAATATTTTTCCATAGAATTTTCATGTTAGCTTTGCTGATTATTTCCATGAGGCATTAAAGATAAAGAAATTGCAAAGGATTGAAAATAAGTATGAAATACTTATCAGTGTGAACCTCTTGCTCTCTACTGCTGTAAAATGTGACAGTCTATTCACGCTCTAAGCCCAATCCTAAAATATTTTTCCACAGAATTTTCATGTTAGCTTTGTTGATTATTTCCCTGAGGCTTTAAAGGTAAAGAAATTGCGAAGGATTTTCATACTTATCAGAGTGAACCTCTTGCTCTCTACTGCTGTAAAATAAGATCAAGGTGAAGTTACTTAGAGCTGAAAGCTGGAAGAAATGGACTGCTAGAGGTCCAGAGGCACGTACTCTGAGAGAGAGTGAGGATATTTTGGCTTCATAGAATCATAGAATGGTTTAGGTTGGAAGAGACCTTAAAGATCATCTAGTTCCTTGCCTCTTGCCATGGGCAGGGACATAGATAATCTTGGATGTTTATAACTATTTGAATCACTGCACTCGCATACAGTAGTAGAAAATGTGATCTCTCTGCTTGTGTTCAGTCCTGAAAACTGTAGGTCCCTAATGCTTTTGAAAATAATGCACAAGAATTTTACAGTAGGGCAACTGGAAGCTTATTGAGAGAGAGAAATATGTGTGTGTTACACACATACATAGACATAAAAGATCCTGAAAACTGTAGGTCCCTAATGCTTTCGAAAATAATGCACAGGAATTCTACAGTAGGGCAACTGGAAGTTTATTGAGAGAGAGAAATATGTGTGTTACACACATACATAGACATAAAAGATAGACATACAATATAAATACATATACATGCACACATATATATCTATGTCCATCTAGTTGCTTGTGTATGTGTATTTACTAACAGTATATCTCAGTTCTACCTCATCACTAGGCATTTGCAATTAGTGGAATTGCTTGCAAGTTTGTAAAACAATCCTTTGTGAAACACCTCTGAAGATCAGGCATTTTGAAAACAAAGAGTAACTTTTTGTTAATGCAGAAACAAATTGGAGAGATGTTCATGTTCTTTCATGAAGCAGAAACAGTACTACTTATATCAATTCATAGAATCATTGAGGTTGGAAGAGACCCTTGGGATCATCGAGTCCAACCATCTCCCCTACTCTACAAAGTCCTCCCCTACACCATGTCCCTCAGCACTGTCTACTGCTATCCAGAAGCAAGAATATCAGGAATGGGTGATAAAGCTTCATCAGGACCTAAAGAATCCAAACAACAGTTCAATCAGGTATCTAATTCCTCTATGATGATTACTTCTATTTGTAATAGTTCAAGGGACTGGCTTTTATATAATCTTTATTTCAGATTAGCCATTTAAATAGGATAATCAAAGCAAATCAAAGGCAAATAAAACATCATAATAAAATATATTTTTAGGAGTTTCTTCATTGTGTAAAGTTATAACCTTTCTGTACTAGAAAGCTGTTGCAATGTGCTAAACTACAACTTGAGCCGAATGGGGTTTTCTCTGATTTTGCCTTTATCTACAATGTCTATTTTTAACAGTGTCTGTCTTTAACACTATTTCACAAGGCTTTCTGTTACCACGTAAGGATGTTCTGCATAATTGTAGCTTAATAAATGGTAACAGGATCACACAGTTTGAATTAATAAATCTCTTTCAATTTTTTTGTTTTGTTTTATGTATACATCACTGGACAGCTAAAAAAAATGGAATTTTTTAGTGTGAATGCTTGTGGTGAGAGTTGGATGAACAGCTTTCTGATTGAGGAAATAGCAGGGAAATCAGAATTTGTAACTTGGGGATGTCCTTATACTTCATCATGAGTAACCACCACCTTTGTTACTGATAGGAAAACAGAAAGGGTAAAACCTGATGCTTTCTCATGTTAGTAGAAGAGCCAGCCTGAGTAGATTTAGGTGGATGCAGCAAGGAATTTATGGGAAACACAGCACCTTTGAACAAAGTGGATGCCAATAAGAGAAGACAGGGATGGATCATATTGCATGAAATACTCATCATTTTCTCGTTTCCTTCTGGGATAAGGAAGTGTATGGAACATGAGGGAAGAGAGAGAGGAGGGGAAATATATTGGAGGATGATGCTGTATGCTTAGATTTTTCACTGCTTTCCTCAGGATTTTGTTGTCTGTGAATTTATGTTTTGGGAGTCTCTTGGAGTTCTCTAGTTAGTCTGGGAATGTCCAAGGTCTGTATAGCTCACAGGCAAGCCAACCTCTTTCTAAACTAGTGACCAGGTAGAACATCACTACAGTAGTGACAGTCTATTCAAGCTCTTAAGCCCAATCCTAAAATATTTTTCCATAGAATTTTCATGTTAGCTTTGCTGATTATTTCCATGAGGCATTAAAGATAAAGAAATTGCAAAGGATTGAAAATAAGTATGAAATACTTATCAGTGTGAACCTCTTGCTCTCTACTGCTGTAAAATAAGATCAAGGTGAAGTTACTTAGAGCTGAAAGCTGGAAGAAATGGACTGCTAGAGGTCCAGAGGCACGTACTCTGAGAGAGAGTGAGGATATTTTGGCTTCATAGAATCATAGAATGGTTTAGGTTGGAAGAGACCTTAAAGATCATCTAGTTCCTTGCCTCTTGCCATGGGCAGGGACATTGATAATCTTGGATGTTTATAACTATTTGAATCACTGCACTCGCATACAGTAGTAGAAAATGTGATCTCTCTGCTTGTGTTCAATCCTGAAAACTGTAGGTCCCTAATGCTTTCGAAAATAATGCACAGGAATTCTACAGTAGGGCAACTGGAAGTTTATTGAGAGAGAGAAATATGTGTGTTACACACATACATAGACATAAAAGATAGACATACAATATAAATACATATACATGCACACATATATATCTATGTCCATCTAGTTGCTTGTGTATGTGTATTTACTAACAGTATATCTCAGTTCTACCTCATCACTAGGCATTTGCAATTAGTGGAATTGCTTGCAAGTTTGTAAAACAATCCTTTGTGAAACACCTCTGAAGATCAGGCATTTTGAAAACAAAGAGTAACTTTTTGTTAATGCAGAAACAAATTGGAGAGATGTTCATGTTCTTTCATGAAGCAGAAACAGTGCTACTTATATCAATTCATAGAATCATTCAGGTTGGAAGAGACCCTTGGGATCATCGAGTCCAACCATCTCCCCTACTCTACAAAGTCCTCCCCTACACCATGTCCCTCAGCACTGCATCTAAACGGCCCTTAAACACAGCCAGGGATGGTGACTCCACCCCCTCCCTGGGCAGCCTGTTCCAATGCCCGACCACTCTTTCGGTGAAAAATTCTTTCCTAATGTTCAGTCTAAACCTACCCTGTTGGAGCTTGAAGCCGTTCCCTCTCGTTCTGTCGCTAGTTACCTGTGAGAAGAGACCAGCACCAACCTCTCTACAGTGTCCTTTCACTGTCCTTTCACAATTCCTACCAGACAGTTGAATTTAGGAAAAAAAATAAAACTGATATCTGAAATCTGTCTTTCTAGTTTGAACACTGTGAAGCTTTTGATTTGGCTTTTTTTAATCCCCCATTTTGTGCGTGTGGGAAGAAATGTTTTATTTAGTAACTTCATAAATAAGGTTTGGGCTATTATAAACAGGCTGAAAATAATTCTATGTTTTCCTCCCTTTTATTCCTATGTTCTTATTATGTTATACCTAGGTATTGTGATTTGTTCTTATTTCTTAATCTCAGAATGCTCTACAAATGAGCTAGGTAATGTTAATCTAACAGCAGAATATACTCTTCCTGCTGGCATGCACCTGGAGCGTTGCACGCCAGAAAGGCAAAACCTCAGATGAGTGGAGTTCATTCAAATAGACTCAGTCTCTTGATTTCCACAAAGTGTCTGAGAATACTTTGGATGGCTTTCAGAAATATTGCTGGTCTTGAACAAAAATGACGACAAACTTTTCAGTACATTTCTCATTATTTCAGTGATGAAATCAGTGTTCAGCCCAGTCAACTGAGAGAATCTGTAGAAGGAAATGGAAGAATTTACGAAGAGCAAAGGCTGTTAGAAGAAAGTTTCACTATTCACTTGGGTAAGTAAAGTAAAGTAACACCAAAACCAAACATAATAACAGATGTTAATAAATAATGTATCTAAGCCATCTGTTATTTACAGTATTTAACTGTCACTGTCTATAATATATACAGTTTGTAATTGAAGTACAGTACAATATAAACTGTATCAAACAGTATCTAGCTACCTGAAATATACTTAATGGAAAACATGATAGAAACAAGTTTTTTCCACTCTAGGATGGTGACTAGTGTAGAAAAGCGCACTAACATCAAAGCATAGCAGTTAAAGATCACATTTTACTTTTCTTATATTTGGTAAGAACCTGTTGGTATTAAATTTAATTCCCACAATAAATTAATAGAAAAATGGGTGCTTAAAACTTTTACTTCTTGTTTATGCAATAGAGATTTGTTACACTTTGAAGTGTCTCTTTTGACTGCATTAGAATTCTGCCCATAGCCTTATAATAAGGAACAAGGCTCATTTCACATATAGATAAGCATTGTGGAAAATACTGCATTTTTACTATTATTGTGTAAATTGCTGATGTGTATGTAAAACTGAAATATATAGTTAAGATCTTTCTTTGAGTATTATTGATTATATTTCCTGTATAGACCTTTTTCACAAAACTTAGGGTAGCACTTTGATCCCTTGTATTTTAGTAACAATTTTGAGTTTCCTCTTTTACTGTAAGTATTGAAATTTATATTCCATACAGGAGCTCAGTTGAAGACCATGCATAACTTGAGATTACTGAGAGCTGATATGCTGGATTTCTGTAAACATAAGCGCAATCATCGAAGTGGAGTCAAACTTCACAGGCTTCAAACTGCAATGTCTCTCTATTCAACTTCTCTCTGTGGCCTGGTTTTATTGGTGGATAACCGTATCAGTTCATACAGCGGCATCAAAAGAGGTGAGCCCTCTCCAATGGGGTATGTTGTGTCAAATGAAAATGAATGTAACCTTAAAACTTACTGTCTTTCACAAAAAAATATTCCCTGCGAAATAAAAACATAAGGGTCTCCAGTAAATTTTAAACATGGTATTGCAAAAGACTAACAAAAAATGCAAAAAGGGATGTGGATAAGGATGGGGGACAATTATGCTGTGATATACTGTTATCTCTCTCACCTCCTTCCTAGTTTTTGTGTTTGTCTAAGGAACATGTTGGAGTAAACACTTCAGTGTTGATTTCCCTGCCTTAGACTGTTTTTTTTTATAGGGACTTGTAACTCTCTAATATCAGATTAGCATACTGAAACCTGTTTGCGAAGCTGAAAATGAAATAGACTAAGATTTTAAATTGATGAGTAAATATATAAAAATACCACGTGTTTTAGATATCCACTGCACTATGAATTTCCTTGAAAATGAACAATAGGAATATTAATTGCCTACTCCTGGAAAGCTTGATTAGTAGCCGTTTTCAGTGCATGTCTTTTGAGTAACTGGACACTATGATGGTGTTTTGTATCAAGGTTAACCAATGAAACATCTTCATTCCCATTTCAATTTTAGTCACTGAGGCTTTCTCTCAACCACATGATTGACTTTCCCATCTTCTTATTGAAGTTTAATACCAAAATACTTACATTTGAAATGTCCTTTTGACTGGAGCCACAGTTACTCATCATTATTCTAGCATGCCATAAAGAGAATAGACTTTGGTGCTTCATATTCTCTGAAACCAGTGTGGAATTAGGCTTGTAGCAAAGCAGGAAAGAGAAGTCTGCCAGTGGAAATTGCAGTTGTATTTTGTACTTTTGATGGTTTCCAAGTTGTTTCATTCTGACTTGTACTCCTTTTCAGTTACTTTTTTTTTTTTACTGCTTAAATATTTAAATTAATAGCAAATAGAGAAGATTTGGTGATAAGACAAACATTTAAGTAGTACTCTCAAACACAAAATTGCGTTTTCTAGCCACTAATTAAATCTTGCAGCCACAGTAGAGGGGAAAATAAGGGACTGTATCACAATCTATAAAGTATAATCCTCAAAAAATTTTTGATTTCTTTGAGTTCTGTAGGGGCTTTAGCGAACTTAACTGTGGGCACATCCCATATCTATCTGCCCCACCATTCTTTTAAAAAGTGTTGCAGAGATGAACGTGTCTCATGTTTCAGCCCCTCTGACCTGGTTGGATAGATTACTTTAAGCCATCAGTGAACGTCTGGGTGTACTGAGACCCCAAATCACTGCAGGCAGCAACTAAGGTTTGGGCACACCCCTTTCAGTTCACTCTGTGGTACAAGGTGTAGCTTCTGGTGGAAGAACAGCAACAAGCACCTTTGAGAGGAGACTTTGCTCTTAAACTGTTAAAGCTGCTCGTTGCAAGTGCGCTACCCAGAAGCAATTCTCCTTCCTAAAAGGCTCTTTAAGAAGTAAATATGCCGTGGTGTTCAAAGGTTCATAAAATTGCTATTTAGAAGACCTGAAATAATTCATTGATGCTGTTGTTTAAATCGGGCAGTAATGACTTGTGAAGTCTAAATTTCTGGGTTACAAAAGTGCGGAAGCATTTTTCTGCCTCCATTTTAAAGCTGGGTAAAAATATAAACCTAATAGCCTATATTTTTTGATGGGCTAGAAGCTCCCTCAAAACACTGAGATTTTCAAAGGCAGCTGGAATAAATGAGCTTCATGTAACCATGCTCTTTACCGAAGCATTTTACGTTGCTGTGGTAGCTGGAGTAAATGAGCTTCATGTAAGCACGCTCTTTACCGAAGCATTTTACGTTGCTGTGAGAACACCAGTCACTCGGCCAGTACTAAACAGAGAGGGCCTCCAGGTGTATGAAGTCCTGCAGCTGACTTGGTTGCAGGACCAAGTAGCTGTGTGCTGAGGAAGCTTAAGAATGTGCTTCTTTTAGTGTATTTTCTTAGTTCTGTTTTGTCTGGCAAAGCTTTTGATGTTGCATCTTTGATAAATCCGTTATCCAAAAATGGTTCCATTTGTCTCAAAATTCAGGTTGTATATGAGGTATTTGCAAGACTGGAAACCACGACTGCAGTGGTTTCTGTATTTCTTGCAATGTGTAAACAGCAGCTAGCAAAAAATACTTTTGAAATCACATTTGGACACCTCTTTAGAAAACAGCCTTGAACAGAAATCTAAACTTACGTATGAACTTTCAACATGCTCATTTCATTCAAACTATTTTTCTAAGGTAGATAAACAGTTTCTTTATTTACCTTATGCATTGTCTAGCTGAAGTCTCTTATATTAGGACTTTGTGGGCTACTGTGGCTCAGGTTTTAGTAGGAATAGCCACTCAGATGAACGATAAACTAAAATTGAAGTTAATTGTAATTTAAATACAAGAGATTTGTCATTTGTTTGTTTCTTGTGACCATATTGTGTCTTGATATACACAGAAGACACAATCTTTTGGAATATGAGCTGCTTCCTCCCTTGGTTTTGGGCACGAGAATTTAATAAAGCCTTTTGAAAATAGATTTTATGATGGAGACGAGACTTTGTGTAAAAAGTATAAAATACATTAAGATTTTTCTCTCTACCCTGACTGTTCCTGTTGCAGCTTGTTCACAGGACTATACGGTGCCCTGCAGATAGGCAGTCAGAGTACATTCAGAACTTTAAGGAGGATTAGAGCAGGTACCTCAAAATGGGAAGTAAGTAGCAATTGCTTGGTATAGTCCAGCTTGCTAATACCTTGGTTTGGCTCCCATTGACTTGCTTGGAGAGATGGCTGGACATTAGGCTAAGGAACTTAGAATACCAGTCACAGAAGCAGCATGTTATGATCTTAATTATCAGTGTAATATTTCCAAGTTTGACATAATACTTATCAGTATAAGTATTGACATAGTACTTATCAGGAACTTGCAGCTCTTTCAGTGGCACTTTTTAAGCTGAAAAAGATGACACTTTTCTTTAGATTTGAGATCTGTATTTTGAGAACTAAAAGGAAAGAACCATAATTCCAGCTTTCCAGGTACACTGTTGATGAATTTCATTAATTGTTTTCATTTTTCAAAGCAAATTGAAATGCAGTTGTTGCTGTTGGAAGTATCTATTAAGTACGTTTTAATAAAGTACCACAGATTGAAGGGCTGTTAGTAATAAGACATCATTTGTAAAGCACAAATAAATTTAATGCACATGTATTATTGCCATTATTTTGGGGTTTTTTGGTGCAGGTGGTTTTGTTTGAAGAGCAACAGCACTCAAGGACTTTTTTTTTCCCCAAGTAATTCATTTCTTTCAAAAAATGTTTTGTCTCTGCCATAAATTTTTTAGAATTTAAACTCAAGTACAGCAGGACTTTGTCTGGTTTTAGGGCAAGTTGCCTTTATAACTGGCCTTGCTTGAATGGTAGAGCAGAATGATGTAACGTTACTAAGCACAGCCTTATGATGTGGATTTTAATCTTTTTTTTTTTTTTTCCTAGATTTTGCAACTGTTTGCCAAGAATGCACGGATTTCCATTTTCCTGGAATTCAAGAACAGCTTGAAATTGTCCAGAAGGTTGTACTTAAGGCCAGAGCACAGCGTAGCAGTAAGTCGAAAAGACATCATGGTCAGTGGCAACCAAAATTACTTTCCTTGAAATAGAATAGTGGTCAGCTGAATGTTTATGGTTACAGGAAAGTTGATTTCACTCTTCTTCAGTTACCTGATCTAGAAAATGGAATGTTTGAGTTTATTGATAAACTGAGAAGCTTGCATGAAATTCTCTCCTCACAGACAGCATGTTCATGTGATGTCTTTGCTGCTGCAACAGACATACCTTACAAAAAAAAAAAAGTATGAGTCCTTAGGTTCTGATCACTCTTCAACAGCTTGAGAAGTGTGTGGTGTCATTGTGCTTTCCTCTGCATTTTGAAACTGCCTGCTGCTATAAAGACTTTGTCTTGACTTTTTTTATTTCTATTTAAATGTAAAGCTTTAAAAATTTCCTGAGAGGAGTTATGATTTTTTCCTTCTTGAAACTGAACACTAAAAGCTGAATAATAAATTGACTGAAAGTGTATACTTTTTCATGCTGACCAAATCCTTGTGAATGGTTTACTTTGCAGTTTTATTTACAAATGGCTGTGAAATTTTCTGTGGTGTTAAGGCAGTACTTGTACATGATGAAACTTCGTTTTTCTTCCAGAGAACTACTTATGTGGTTTAAATATGTCAGTAACATGAATAGATTCATAACAGTACATAGAGAAACAAGTTTTCATAGAAACCTGCATTTTGCTGTAGTCTTGAGAGAAATAATGAAAGCTGGTTTTGTACTGCTGATTTATGTAAATCTCTTTTCTTGCAATACTAGAAACAAATCTGTATTAAATAGTTACAGTATTTAAAAAGCAATAACAAGGTACTATGTGTAGGTGTGGGGGCAATTTGGACTGCATTTGGGGGAATTGTGGTAACTTTGTGGTAAAAATTCAAGCCAGATATCATCTTTAAATATGTCAGTAACATGAATAGATTCATAACAGTACATAGAGAAACAAGTTTTCATAGAAACCTGCATTTTGCTGTAGTCTTGAGAAAAATAATGAAAGCTGGTTTTGTACTGCTGATTTATGTAAATCTCTTTTCTTGCAATACTAGAAACAAATCTGTATTAAATAGTTACAGTATTTAAAAAGCAATAACAAGGTACTATGTGTAGGTGTGGGGGCAATTTGGAAAGTTTATTATTATGTTTGAGAATACTGTATTTTCTTTTGTCCAAATGAAGAGGTATTATAAGATGATTAAATAAGAAAGCTGATGATTTGTGATAGGATTTAGTTCAGTGTCTGTTGAAGACAGCAAAACCAGTTCCTGTCCATCCCCTTGCATTTGGGGGACTTTGTGGTAATTTTGTGGTAAAAATTCAAGCCAGATATCATCTTAGTACATCAAACTTCTTTCATACTGACATGTAATTAATAGATGATATGTTTAATGTTTGTGCTATGTATTTATATACAGAAAACAAAAGTAGTGGAAATGAAGATAAATTAAAGAATATTGAACGAAACCAGTCAAATATTTTGCCGGGTGAGTTCTGCTCTATTCTCCCCCTCCTCTTAAAGCAATTTGTGTTATACAGATGCACATTTTTAGCTCGAAAGTCAGAACATAAATTATAAACTAAACCCAGTTGACCTCAATCAGAGGAGAAGGATGTTCCTGTGGCTAAGGCAGAGAACTGGGTGTCAGGACATCTGGTTTCTATTCCCAGCTTTGCCACTGCATCATGTGACTTGGGGCAAATCACTTAACTTCTCTAGGCCTAAAATTTCTTTTCAGAATTTGAGGGTGAAAAAAAGATCTCTGAGCATCTTGGGAAAAGGTGAAACTTCAATACTAGCAACTAACTTTATTTTTGAAAATAATTATACATATATGTGTCACCATTGTAATACAGTAAAGCATTTTAGAATGTATTTTTCAGCTTTGAGAATGCATAAATCCTATTTCCAGAGGAAGTATCTTCTGTATGTATTACGAATTTTAGGAAGGAAATTTGAAGGTGAATACACAGTTGGAGGAGGGAGGAGTTAAATTCGTACAACCTGTGGTTGAATAAGAGGGCTTCTTAAAATTGCTTTCATGATTGTCTTGGATCTTGTTAGTATAAGTGGATTATAAATCATCTCGGGTCCTTAACAGATAAATCTGGGTGAATCTTGCTGCAGGGGCTTGTGTGTTATTACTCTTAGATGATCATTGCTGGGGATTGCTACCTCCTTAGCAGTCATCAGAAAGGACTACATACCTGTTCTTCAGCCATCCCAGTAAAAGGTAGTATCTTAACTTAAATGACCAGTGACAATAGGTTTGAGGAAAGATGTTTATCTGTTAACTGAAGCAGTAAGAATATTGCTTACCCGCTTTTCTGTTGACTCTAGTATAGACTTCTTATTTCAGGCAGAAAGGTAAAACGGAGAGACCTGCATTTAATGCCCCTCATCCTCCTTTCTTTACTTTTGATAAATGAATACCAAGTCTAAAAATAATTCCAGTAAGATGTCTTGGTAACTTTTTGAAAACAACTCTGTAACTAATGTTCCCATTACTATGAATTATGTTAAATTCTAATGATCACTGATACCTTTGTCTTCCAGTACATATCTCAGTTGTTACGTAATCCACTATCTTTTTCCACAGACTTTTCGCATCCTTTATTTTAACCTATCCATTTTTGGTATTTCCGCCTCCCACATCTGTCTGCAATTCAGTGCTTACATTGTATATTTTGAGTATTTCACCTCCTCTGTGTTTGTTTTTCTGTTTCGTGCTATATATAGATCATATCCGCCTCTACTGGCACTGTTATGTCTTATTACACCAGGTGTCCGTGATCCCAGTGAAACCCATCAAAGCAGGGAAGTGAGTGTAGGATGAATGTAAAACAATGATATTCCAAGAGATTTTAGATCAGTTGGTTTCTAACTGTTTTTTTTTATCTTGTTATGTACGTGTTCTGATCTTTGTTGTATATTTGTATTTCCCTTTTGTCTTAACTGACCCTGTTCTTACACAGCGTAACAGTTGTGTTTCAGTACAGATCCACATTTTTTTATCTTGTTACGTACGTGTTCTGATCTTTGTTGTATATTTGTATTTCCCTTTTGTCTTAACTGACCCTGTTCTTACACAGCGTAACAGTTGTGTTTCAGTACAGATCCACCACAGTGATATCTTGCCTTCCTGGTTTATATTTTTCTGTAGGAGAATTCTACATCACACGCCATTCAAATCTTTCTGAAATCCACGTCGCTTTTCACCTCTGTGTGGATGATAATGTAAGATCTGGTAACATAACTGCTCGGGATCCTGCAATCATGGGACTCAGAAACATTCTCAAAGTTTGTTGCACACACGACATTACTACCATTAGTATTCCTCTCTTATTGGTGCACGACATGTCGGAAGTAAGTAAATGTAAACATTTAGTTTGGTTTTATTTTCTCAAATGGAACGAAAGTGATTTTTGCAATGGGTATGTTTAAGCCAAATGGGACAGTTTATCCCAGTCACATGCTCCTGCCACACCGTTGTGCTGGCAATCATCTATATGGTGACCCAAATGAAGGAACTGAAGCAGTTTAAAATGTTGCAGCCAGCTGAATCACTTTAGTTTTTTATTCCCACCTCTCATTTTGGGACACTTCACTTCCTTGATCCAGCTCATGGCACACTTGCGTGTTAATGAAAGATGGGACCACGTGCCTGCAAGTCTTCCAGCAACAGCTCTTGCTTAGAAACTGTACCTTCAGAGTCTCTGATGTGATAGTGATACTAGATTCCCAGTTTTAATTGTTGCTATTTAGAAAACCTTAAAACTAAGAATTATGGCAGACCGAGCAAAGCTTGGCTTAGAGTTCTGTATCCCTAAACGTACCTCAGCCCTACACAGCAGCAACCAGATGTCACCTTTGCTCTGAACTGTCTCCTTCACTACCTAATCACTTGCATCCTTAATTTCTGTCCCTTTTTCCTCTCTTAAGTCCCCCAGATACTAGCTGGGAAAGAAGCAGCATATTGCTGAGGCTCTTTGTAGATACAGGTGGGCTTGTTTATTGTGCTGAGCTTTTGTATTGTTTTCTTCAGTGGGATGCTGATGTAGAGCTTGTCTCTTACTCAACTGTAACTTTTTACCAAGCATAGTTTAATACCATTGACAACCTCTTTATTATGGCAGACCGAGCAAAGCTTGGCTTAGAGTTCTGTATCCCTAAACGTACCTCAGCCCTACACAGCAGCAACCAGATGTCACCTTTGCTCTGAACTGTCTCCTTCACTACCTAATCACTTGCATCCTTAATTTCTGTCCCTTTTTCCTCTCTTAAGTCCCCCAGATACTAGCTGGGAAAGAAGCAGCATATTGCTGAGGCTCTTTGTAGATACAGGTGGGCTTGTTTATTGTGCTGAGCTTTTGTATTGTTTTCTTCAGTGGGATGCTGATGTAGAGCTTGTCTCTTACTCAACTGTAACTTTTTACCAAGCATAGTTTAATACCATTGACAACCTCTTTTCCTCTGTCACATCTGGCTTACAAGATACTCGCAGAGAAGAAAAAAGGGGTGGGGAGGCAGAGAGGGGTGCAGTGTACAGGCAGTACATCTATATGCCTCAGCTCTTTAAGAGGTGAAATGTCTATAAACTTAAAGAAATGAGAAAAATAAGATAATGCTGCCATTATTGATACCTTTGCACATTTAGGTACAGTCGGGGGAGGGTGTGTGGTTAAATAACTCTGATTTTTCAGTTGTAAATTTCAGTGCTGCCTTTCCTTCTTTGAAAATGCCTGACTCTTAGCAAGATAAAGGCTCACCAGCAGATTAACTTTAACAGTGACTTTTTTTTTTTTAAACACAATTTGATTGGAACACAGTGTAGAAGTGGCCCCCTTTGGCAAGATCAGGGTCTATTATTGTGAAAGTGCAAGCAATGCAAAAGTTTAAAATGTCCAATAATGAAACTTCTAAAGGATATACTTCCATACATAAAAGTAGACTTTTAGGAACAGATTATATTCTTTCTGAAATTTTTCATTTCTGTTATTGACTTTTTTGGGGGCACAAATGCAAGTAATGGACTTGCAGGACAGCGGCCTGGATTACTGATGGGACCCAGTTACTGTGTGTCATAAATTTATTGACATTTTTTCTTAATCAGGTTGCCATCTGACTATATTATTTTTCTTTCTTTTTTTTTTTTTTCTCTTAAACCTTGATGGTTTTTGGCTTTCATTTGCATATGTGTATACTAAAATACAATTAAAGCACAAGACCAAGTGCTTAATGTGCTTTGAGAGTGTGTTGTTGCTTGGATGTGTGAAACTGAAGAATTATCTTCTTTATTAGTGCTGGAATCTTAAAAGGTTCTGGTAAAACAATTTACTTTTTATATTAAGTTTTAAGTCTTTGCAGAGTAAGCAGAAAGTGACCTGTATGATAGGTATATGTTTAGCCAAAACTGCATTGTGTGAATTGCATTAACAGCATTGCTTATTACAGTGCTTTGCAGCTGGCTGACCTCATTTGAAACACACCAGTATGTAACGTATTGTTGAGAGAAAAGTGAATAATAACAGATTTCTGAAAGTTAACCTGAACTTGGTGCCTTCAGCAGCCCCGGTTTTGAATCTGCGTTTACCACCTACATAAAAACATTTTTGTAAAGTGGTTAACCAGGAGCACAGCTGCAGAGAGGATTGCATGCTACGCTCTGACAGCCATTCATCATGAGTTTTCTCCGTGCTTTTCCCAAAGGTTTTCTTTTGTGGATGGAAGAGTGGTGTTTATAACCTCACAGAAGTAACAAGTGTGTCAATCTCACTGAAGCCACCTAATTTCATTGTTATTGGACCTTTGTTTAAAGCTAATTATTTTTTTTTCTAGAAAAAAAAAAAGAAATTCTGCTTTTCGTACAACATGAACAGCAAAACCAGGGTTTCTGTTCTGATTAAGTTAAATGAACAAAAGTATCTGGGTTTGATACTTGAGAAAGGCAAAAGCAGACAAGTTCAAATTCAAGACAACTGAAGCATTACTGCCTGATCGCTCTTCTCAACTTAATATAAACTGACATATAAACTGAGGATCAAAATGGCTCAAACAGCATGGCATCGCTAAAAATGCTAGAGCTGGCACACTTCCTTGGTAGTTGCAGCATAGGAGCCATTGCTGCTGTCCACACAGCAACACTGAGAAAAATTTGACTCCGCAGGGATCTGAGGCAGCTGTCTCCATCACCATAAGTTAAGACAAAAATGTTTGTAAAAATAGTAGAAATGAAGGGAGTATGAACCCTGTACCAAATGTTTGTGAATGTTATGTAGAGAGATTATTGATGGGTGTATTAACCTCAAATATTTCTCATCTGAGTTTCCTGCTCATATAGTGTTTAGGATTTGCCTAGATATACTTTGAATAAACATCTTGCTAATCCTTAACTTACTAAAATTAACCATTGAAATTTGGTTTGAAGTCTGTTTCCTGCAAGACACTTAGGAACTTTAGTGTTTTCATTACCTGGTTACGACATGGTTTGGGAAAGGCATGAGCCTTGAGCTTTATAAAAGTGGCAGCCCCACCTAGTGAGTGTGTCACAAATTTGTTTGAACAAAAAGGTTTGCAGTGTCTCTTTCTAATCAGTGAATTTGGCCTTTTTTTTTTCTTTTTAATAAGCAAAAGGAATCTTAAGTTGACAACAGTTTATATCCTAAAAAGGAGTGAGGTGTCGTCTCTGCTGGTGAACAAAACCAGAAGTCCCAAGTGTTTTGTGACTTGCTTGGATGCTGTTAACCAAAACTCACTATAGGAGAGGGAGTGTTTGGGTTTTTTTTCCTGTCCCCTGGCATTGTATTTTGAATTGGTACTTAGCCAATTCTTCATCATTTCCACAACTATTGCTTAGTTTGTGTATGGAGAAAAATCCTGATAACACGGCAAAATTGTGAGAACTTACATTTTTAAAAACTGATTATAATTGAATCACTGCTGCGTCATTTTTTTTAGTTCTTGTGGCTTGCACACAGTGACATTCTGGATCCAACCTGTTATTTCCCCGAGTGCCCACAAGATTTAACATCTATGTTTCTCTGAAATAGTCCAAGGAATAGTGTCATATCCTGCTGTTTTGATCAATCCTTTTAAGGCTCAGTTCCCTTTATTGATTACACAAGGTACTCCTGAGTTGCCTTCAGAGCAACAGGAGGCTTCTTTTTAGACACTTGTTTTTTACCTAAGCCACAACAGTGATCAAAGCTAATGCCTACATTACTTGTGACAGAAAGCACACCTAGGCAAATAAATTATAACAAAGACCAAATATTTCTTCCAGAAAGCTTAGAAATGAAGAAAAAAAAAATAATTGCCCAGCATTGTTCTGTCTGTTTATTGTGTTGTATACCCTAAAAGCAGCATCTGTTTATGCAGTGTTTTACATCATGAAGGAAAGTTTTCTGGAAAGTAATTTCTAGCTTATGCTGGTTTTAACATATTACATATTTCGGGCATGGCAGGAGATACTCCTTCCTAAGTAGGAACTTTGGCTTTCAGCAGTTGTTTAATGCTAAATGCAGTTGTTTAACAGTATACTGTTTCAGTGTTATCAGTAAGCATTCTTAGATAACCTTGCTTCTCAAATAACTTTTTTTTTTCATCAGGACATTAAGCTATTTGGAAATGTCAGGTTCCATAGTATTTTGTGTTGCCAAATAAAGGCTGAATAGAAAATTATGTAAAGTGTAAATTTGAAAAGGTACATAAAATGATAAACTTGTTTCCGTGTCTATATTCCTGTATTCAGACTAGAAACTTCTCACTTTGATGTTGAAGACTACAAATAGGTATTATTTTCTTTCTGAGAAGTGTTTACAGTGACAGTCATTCTGTCTCTGACTAGGAATATTCACTTTGTAGCGTACAACCAAAGAATCTTTGATGTGCTGAAGCATTAAAACTCTAACTTAAATTATTTAGACAAGTGCTTGTAGCCACATCTTAAGATATCTTAAACTAGTGTGGGTTTTGTACCCTATCTTGGTATTTAGGTTTTTATCTGAAATTCCTCCATCAGATGAAGATAGATTTTGCTTGTTTTAACTCCTAACCTAAATGCATCTTTAAGAAAGAAGGACTTCTTCCACTTTCAGTAGAGAGAATGTTTTTACTGAAGGCAGTGGGTGTGCCAATAAACCTTAACTAGAATTATCAAGAACAGCTAGGAATCATCAGTTACTCCTGTTGAGATGTGGTGAGGAGCATGCCTTTGGCCAGCTGAAGCATGAATCTGACAGTTATCCATTGGATATCCTATGTTTTTCTGAAGATCCTCAGAGGATTTAAATTGACCTATTTCCAGTGGCATTAATAGGGGTGTCAACAATATTTTTATTCAAGATCTCAGCTTAAAAAGATAATAGAATGTTCTGACACCGGGCTCTCCTACCAATAATTAGTGGCAGTGCTTTTATGGTAACCTGTAAGGTATATACCACCTGCCTAGAATACTCTGGAAAACGAAGATCTCAGCTTAAAAAGATATAGAGTGTTCTGACACCAGGCTCTTCTACCAGTAATTAGTGTCAGTGCTTTTATGGTAACCTGTAAGGTGTATACCACCTGCCTAGAATACTCTGGAAAACTGAATCCCTCTTCATGGCCTGGAATGCTGCTTGAATATCTGATGGGGAAAATGTGGTTCTATGGCAAAAGAGTATTATTTTTAATAATATCTCTGCTACTCTTGTTGGTTAGATCCATTGGGCATTGAGGCTTTTTATTTTTATTTTTAGGAAATGACCATTCCATGGTGCTTGAAGAGGGCAGAGCTTGTGTTCAAGTGCGTCAAAGGTATGTTCGTGAATTCTTCAGCTGTTTGTGTTGCATCTGGTGGCACCCAGCCTTGCTCAAACTGTATATTTCCTTCTCCAAAAAGTTGTTTCTCAACAATTTATGGTTTATTGAAGTGTACAGGTTGATTTTCTCTTTAAAATTAATAACTGTCCTACCAGGAAATAGTCTCAGGCACTTAGAATGGAGACTAAAAATGTTTCAAAAGTACTGAATCCCTCTTCATGGCCTATAATGCTGCTTGAATATCTGATGGGGAAAATGTGGTTCTATGGCAAAAGAGTATTATTTTTAATAATATCTCTGCTACTCTTGTTGGTTAGATCCATTGGGCATTCAGGCTTTTTATTTTTATTTTTAGGAAATGACCATTCCATGGTGCTTGAAGAGGGCAGAGCTTGTGTTCAAGTGCGTCAAAGGTATGTTCGTGAATTCTTCAGCTGTTTGTGTTGCATCTGGTGGCACCCAGCCTTGCTCAAACTGTATATTTCCTTCTCCAAAAAGTTGTTTCTCAACAATTTATGGTTTATTAAAGTATACACTTTGATTTTCTCTTTAAAATTAATAACTGTCCTACCAGGAAATAGTCTCAGGCACTTAGAATGGAGACTAAAAATGTTTCAAAAGTATCCTTGCAACTTAAACATAGACAAGAGGAAGAAGTGTACAGGTTGATTTTCTCTTTAAAATTAATAACTGTCCTACCAGGAAATAGTCTCAGGCACTTAGAATGGAGACTAAAAATGTTTCAAAAGTATCCTTGCAACTTAAACATAGACAAGAGGAAAAAAAGCCCTTGCTGCTGCTTTGAGCAATCTCAAGGAGGGCAAAAGCTGGTGGCTGTCTACAATATAATTTCCAGTGTCTTGTATTTTGATTACCTCAAACAATGAGGACTCCCCACACTTCAAAGACAAGTTTATGTGCTAATTAATCTCTTATTTGGAAAGTCCCCGTGACTCAACTTGATTTTCTGTCTTTCCAATTGGTGTTATTACTTACTGTGTTCTTGTGTGCTGCACTTAAATAGCTGAACCAGTCAAGTATTTAAAATGTTAGTTTAATACTTTAATAGTTCTTTCTACAACCTACTCGAGGAACCTCATCGTATCGTGACCTCTGGTAATTCACGGTGGCATATCATCTACATAGGCACTTTCATTAAAGAAGTATTTTTTTATTTTTCTGAGTATCTTTATTTGCCATGAGTGTGTTCCTGTGGACTTTGTAGTTCATTTGTCATGGTAAGGAAATGCTAGCATAAAAATGCTGTATGGTAACTTGAGCAATACATGAATGCTGAGCTTTTTCCATACCAGTAGGTTCGGGTAGTTTCTGTTGCTGCCAGATTGTCAGTGTACGTTTGACAGGTGGCTTGTACTCATTTATGTGGATGTGATCACATGAGAGCTACAGGAAAGAGCTATTTCTCAATGAAAGTAGGCCATTGACAGAGCTCATAACAGTCATATTTGGAGAAACCTCTCTCTTCTGCTGGCTAGCACTGTGTTATGCGGTGCGAATGGTTATATTGATTTTTCTCCATAAATCGTAAGACTTTCCATTTAAAGCAGACTTCAGTCAGGAGATTGGCCAAGTCTGACTTAAATGTGATTAATGACATCCCTAGCTAAGGCAGTTAAAATCCAAGTTGTATGTGAAAACTTCCTCACTGCTTGATAACGGTGTAATTGATGTGGAAGACTGCACAGGTAATGCATACTTTATGAATGCTATTTTCTAGGTTTCATGATGGAAATGGCCTCATGGGATGGAGGAGTTTCTCGAACTGTACAGTTTTTGGTACCACAGGTAGGTTTAAACCAAGTTCATATCCAACCTAGGAGACTACTGGAACAAGAAGTTAATTGTCTGCAGTTTTGACTTCTTTGCTATGCCCTGCTCTTCTTGTGTGAGCTTAAGTAATCACTGTGGTTTGGGTCCCTTGCCTATAGAATAGGAATACAAGGGGGTTATATTTTTGAATATCCTGTAGTATCTTCTGGGGCTGCTAAAATGTCAAGCTAGGAAGTTCACCTTTACAAATGGTGAATACATCACCTTTGAAAAAGAGATAATTTTTTGCTATTATTTACTCTGAAGAGATGGGCTAACCTTGCATTATGTAAGTTTAGGTATTTATTAGTTATGTTGTCTGACAATTTGGAAAGTTGTGATGTGCTAAGCTTAGTCATGCTTCCACAAACTCATTGATGACTCTTAGGTATTTGAAGTTAATTGAAATTAAGATTCTGAAATTATTTAATTTGGAGTTCTAGCTGATCTTGAGAAACAGAAAGTTTTCGGAAGGTGGCCAGCGCTAAGTTTTATTTGTTCTAAAAGAGTGGTAGTGGAAGTAATATAAAAATCGGAGTTACGTTAGGAAAGAAATAACATGCATTTCTTGACAAAATAGTAAAGTGTTGAGCAAGGAGGAAGCCAAGAATAAACCAAGTACTGAAGTTGAATTTAATTCTGGAATTTGGAGAGTAGAAGTCCTGTAGATAACAAACAGCACTGTCCTGCTTGAGCTAGGCAGAAATAACCAATTACCGGAGCGAGAAATCCACTGGAAACAGGTATGTCACACAAATACCCAAACAGTATTTTTAGGCCAATCTTTCTCTTTTGATTGAACTAAATACAGTTATGACACGTAGTTTGAAAATGGTCTTTGTGGTCTTCTGAAAAACAGCAATTCTCTTAAATGTCAAGAAACAAAAGTTGAGAGAGACATAATTCTTCCAAACTACAGCAAAAAGCCAGTTTACTGGTGTAATTTTTTTTACTTTCTTTTTTCCAGACAATTTCTGAGGAAATGTTTTACCAACTGAGTAATATGCTTCCACAAATCTTCAGAGTGTCCTCTACATTGACTTTGACCTCTAAGCACTGAATTTGGTGCATAAGTAAGATGTATCCTGTTGACAAAGGATGAGGTTACAGAGATTCTGGATTGGCACGTCTCGTTTCTGAGGGATGGTGACCCTGAAGTGGTATTTGGTGCAACTTCAAGAATCATGTCGTCATAATAAAACATAAAAGCTGGCTGGGCTTGGGTGTTAGGAGTTAATTTTTGCCTCTTGCTTCCTGTTTCAGCGGAGTATTTATGTTGAATACCTCACTTTTATCTGAAGGACATTCAATGTAACTTATTGTATGTGATCTACAGAAATATAAGTGATTCCCATGCTTCAGCAGTAGGAATAAAAGCTTATGGTAGGAGTAGTATCTTCTGGGTGGGCTTCAGGTTGTTGGGTTTTAAAAACATTTTCTGAGTTTACTTGGTGAGATTTAAAAAAATACGAACAATGTCAGGTGTCTCCTTAGAATAACTTTGATGTAATTTGTCACAGTTGTCTTTCCAGGCTCACAGCGACCACAAAACAGAATGTATTACTGCCTCATTTTATTGATACACAATGAAAGACATGAAACAAGCACTTAACCTGCTGCACTCTGTAAATCATGGAAGTGTTTAAATTTAATTTTTTTTCCTTTCTTTTTATTTAGTCCATTTTTTATAGTATGTTAAATTTTTGCTTACACTTTGTAAATCATGGAAGTGTTTCAATTTAATTTTTTTTCCTTTCTTATTTTTTATTTAGCCCATTTTTTATAGTATGTTAAATTTTTGCTTTATTTCAAGGTTTCACTGGACAAGTCTGTCACATGAACAATTTAATAGGAACACTAGAGTGTTCTGGACTCTCGTACAAGTGTCTTTTGCTGTTTAATACTGTTTTTTGACTTAATCTAATCAGAAATGCTGGGCAGACAGCTCAAGATGCAGCTTTGAAGTTTCTTGGGACCAACTTAAATCCAGTCCAAAAAAAATGAAAAAGCCTCCGCTTCCCCATGATGGTGGGTAGCGGGGGGGGAGGTTGGGATCTATTTTTCCTCCATGAGGGACAGACAGGCTTTTTAAACTCAGCTGTGGACCCAGCAGAAAAAGCCTCTGTTTCCCCAAGATGGTGGGTAGGGGAGGGAGGTTGGGATCTATTTTTCCCCCATGAGGGACAGTCAGGCTTTTTAAACTCAGCTGTGGACCCAGCAGGAGGCTGGGAGCAATCCTTCAATGCAGAGACTGGCCGTGGGGAAGGTCCTGTGTTCAGTCTCAGTGCTGCCGGAAGAACCAGGCTCAGAGGGAAGCAGTTGGGGTGTTGAAGGTCCCGGGTAGCTTTCTGGAATAGCTCGGATCCTGGCAGAGCTGGCTTTGAATCTGAAAGCTCTTTCTATGTATTGCTGAAATTCTGCACTTGAAAACTAGAGATCCTGGAAGCCAACTAAAAATCAAATTATTTTCTATTCTCAGTGTAGTGGTGGTGTGTTTTTTTTTTTAAATATTATCATTTAGTTTGATAAATGTGAAAATTGCAATTCTTTATTCAAGGGAAACTGCACAATTCAAAATTCTCACAGAGAATCAAAGGAACATTAACCAGTTCATGGTGTTTATAAAGTCACTATGTCATTACCACCTCCTAGCCTAGTATTTTTATCGAGTCCTGCATATGCTGTACAGAAGCTATGTAAGTGACCCAGCAAACATCTATTGCTGAACTGTCAAATGCTTTCCTTTTCCTCTGCCAGCAACTTCTAAAGAAGAATCATGCAAGTAATGTGACCTAATTTGGTGTTCTAGAAAAGAAGGATGTAAATTCATCTAGAAGGAGCTGGATTAATCTTGTTAGAGCTCGTTTTACATTGCTGGCCTTAAGCTGAAATCAAACTCTGGTCCCAGAAAAGCAAGTGCTCTAACCACTATTCTGTTTGTGAAAGGTGCGTCAGCACAAGTATTCCTTTTTATAAGGCTGAAGACTTATCTGTGTTACAAAAGAAGTCTGTATTACATATTTGGTTTTTTGGCTTTGGGTAGTTTTTTTTTTTTTCTTCAGTCAGGACATCTACCAACAAGTAGCCCGTGAAATACCAAAAAATCTTGAGCAAATCATCTGGCTTACACTTTTAGACTCTTTCTTAATAAAAATAACGCCCGAATTCACCTGTTATTTTGCCAAAACACAAAGACACGATTTAATTAAGTACCACCTCTGTAAAACTGCTAGTAATTTCTAAGGGAGATGATGATGCGTTTTTTGAATGTGTGTTTTCAGTCCTCAGTGGATGGCATATGAACTTCTCAGCATAATAACTGATTGGTCTTGGATACTAAAAAGAACAAGCAAGTTTTAGGGGTGAGGTTTTGGAAAGTCAAAGTACGGAAAACTATTATTTCAGCTTAAAATTGTACCAGAGCCCGGCCCTTGTAAAAGCCCTCCCAAACTCAACCGGTAGGAACAGTACGGGAAAACTGTTATTTCAGCTTAAAATTGTACTGGAGCCTGGCCCTTGTAAAAGCCCTCCCAAACTCAACCGTTGTCTGAAGGACAGGACAACACAACATCTATCATTCCCCATTTTTCATACCTATTCCCGAGGAAGTAGTGCTAACGGGGGATTTTTTAGCCCTCTTTGTGGAAAAACAGACTATAGAGATGGGCTGACCTCGGCTGTACTTTCTGTTTGATCTGTACCTGGCAGGCGTACAGAACGGTAGCCTACAGGCTGCAATTTATGGAGTAAAGCCACGTGAGAAATCTTGTTTGGGTCATGAGAAGCTATTTGAGATTAAGAGGAAAATGACTCAATAGGCATGAGGTTTTTCTATTTGTATATACAGCACTCCTTGGAAGGATGACGGTATTTAAGACAGTGCAGCACTCCTTGGAAGGATGACGGTATTTAATGCCTTGAAAACGTTGCGTAAAATTGTATGTGTGGTTTTGTATGGAATAAATTGTTATCACCGCTCAGAGAAGTGAGGATTGAATGTCACTGTTTAGCTTTTTTACCCTGCTGGTGGTGATCAGTGTAAACTGCAGGTGCCCTTCACAGAATCTGAACCGGGGAGGAGAGAGAACACAGGCAGTCGAGAAAACAGATTTACAGCCCTCGTCCTGACCAGGCTGCTTTCACCCTCTTGTAATTCCAGAAATTTCACTGCCCGGAGAGGTAAGAGTTGCATCTCGGGTCTCTCCCTCTGCAAGAGTACACTCTGGATAGCAGAATCTAAGTTAAGGAAGCATAGCTGAAAGATGGTATTTTACAACTTTTCCAGTTGTATGAGATGAGTGAAGACGCAGAAGGTGATTATGGAGAGGGGGTATAACTTAAAGAAGGAAATTATGACTAAGTTTATGAGTTCTAACCCAGTTTTGTTACTGCTGGGAGCTTAAAAGTTGATCGGTTCATTTGATCTGTACCTCGTTTTCTCCTCATTAGAGGGAAGTTTAATTTGTGCTTGTGTAGTATTTTGAGCATTAGCCTTGCATGCCGCTTTTACTCTTATTTCTTGCCTGTACTGTATCCAAAAATACGTTGCTCTTCCCTGGTATTCACACCGGGTCAGAAGTGTAAAGAGATGCCTATCCTCTCCTTGTATCTTTGCCTCCCCTGAGGTATCAGGGCAGACCATCAGCGCTGCATAAAAATAACTGTATTACTTCATACTGTATACTGGATGTGGTAGAAGTCAGGAGCAACCACACAATTACGGTCCCACAGGACCACAGAATTAAAAGAATATATTATTATGCGCAAGTACAAACAACCTTTTATTTCTGGTCGTTCGAGTTCAAGGGCTTGACTTTATGCTGTAACAGCGTTTAAACGCTTAAGTTTTAATCTAACCCCAAAGTGCAGAAGCAAGTGGAGCAGAGAAAATGCACATCACAAGGATCAGCACTTAAGAGACCAGCCACAACAGTCATCAGAAGGAAGATAGTGATGAGTTGAGTCCCCTGGTGAAACTCAACCTGCTTGAGAGAAGGAAGAGGCTACCTCCAGCACCAGGAGGTACTCTGTACATGAAGGAGCCCTTAGAAGAGCTTTAGCTATTTGTTAGGGAAATTACTTTGGAAAGCTGGACTAACCCCAGGAGGCAAAGAAGTCTAGCAGTTCCAGGTCACTTGGTCAGCAGATGGGACCTCCCATCTGGAGCACTGGGTCCAGTTCTGGGCTCCCCAGTTCCAGAAGGACAGGGAACTGCTGGAGAGGGGACAGCAGAGGGGTACAGAGATGATGAGGGGCCTGGAGCATCTCCCTTAGGAGGAGAGGCTGAGGGACTTGGGTCTTTTTAGTCTGGAGAAGAGAAGGCTGAGGGGGGACCTGATCAATGCTTATAAATACTTAAAGGGTGGGTGTCAGGAGGATGGGGCTGGTCTTTTTTCAGTGGTGTCCGGGGACAGGACAAGAGGAAATGGGCACAGACTTGAATATAAGAAGTTCCACCTCAACATGAGGAGGAACTTCTTTCCTTTGAGGGCGGCAGAGCCCTGGAAGAGGGTGCCCAGGGACATGGTGGAGTCTCCTTCTCTGGAGACATTCAAACCTGGCCTGGACACATTCCTGTGCAACCTGCTCTGGGTGGCCCTGCTTTGGCAGGGGGGTTGGACTAGATGACCTCCAGAGGTCCCTTCCAACCCCATGTCATTCTGTGACGTGTCTGTAGGAAGCTGTGCTCTCGCTTGTGCTTGGTGGCAGAGTAGGGTGATGCCCCTCCACCGGCAAAACCTGTCGTTTGATGGCAAATGTGGCTTTAAGGCCCCTCAGATGATAAGAAAGCAAATTGAACCGTGGTGTTGAACCTGCTGAGTGAGTGCTCCAATGGGTGGGCTTTTAAATTAAGCAGGGAGCTTCTTATGATGGTGGTGTTTGCTGGGGTGCACGTCACAGGCTCAACACATCTACAGACTGAGTCAGGGAGAGAATGTGGAGTGGAGGCAACCTGACTGACAGTCTGAATGAGCTCGGACAAAGCCAGCTGCCGATGTGCTCGTTATTCTGGAGATGAATTTATGATGAACACCCAAGAAGCAGAGCGTTTCAATCCCTGGGAAAATTTTCCATTCCCATGCTGCAATACCAAGCCCTTCCGGAGGTGGGTACCAACTAAGCATTGGGGGCAGCCTCACAGCAATTGCATCTTAATTCCCCTTTGGAATGTGCTAACTTCTTTCTTTGCACATGATCCAGGCTGTCCAGGTGCTTTTAGGCTATAGAGGAGGATTCTAATACTCTTCTGTTTTAATAAGAAGCCTGCAAGGTTCTTTTTGAGATTATTTCTTGGAGATTAGGCCAGAAAATGGGAAAATAAATGTGGTTCATGGCTCTTTATTTCCATTCCCACAATTGTCAGTATAACTTCCAGAGGGAAAAAAACAACTGTC